CTCATCCTCCTCTTCCTCCTCCTCCTCCTCGTCCTCATCCTCCTCTTCCTCCTCCTCCTTCTCCTCCTCCTCATCCTCGCTTTGGGATTCCAGCGGAGGCCCATGCCAAGAATAGGGAAACAAAAAGTGTCATAAACATAAAAGCTCGGAGGTCCGCGCGGATTTCTCGGATCGCCACTGGGGCCTCCCGGCGGCGCCTCCGGCGCCGCCCTTGGCGCGCTCCGCGTGCCAGGGAGGGGGGTCCAGCGCCGATCCGAGAAATCCGCGCGGACCTCCGAGCTTTTATGTTTATGGCACTCTTTGTTCCCCTACAGAACCACCCTGGTTGCCTCCAGGGTGCCCTGGGTGTCCTGGGTGTCGACGGTTTTGCTACGGAAAGCGTGACGCTCCCACACCAAAAGTCAATGGGCGTCAGGGGGTCCCAGGGTCGGTCGGGTTTCTTGCGTAAGGTTACTTGTGGACTAGCCTCAACTGTAGGGGTAGGGCTCGGTGAGAACTTCCGTGGCCCTTTGGGCTTAGTGATTGTCTCTTTGCGCCTAGTCATAAAGAGTGCCCCCTCTCCTCTCGGCCTCCGAGCCTCCTCCGTTCGCCAGCCCGCGACGACTCCGAAGGCGAAGATGTGCGCGATGGCGGCGAGGGCGCGGACGGCTGCGAGGACCCGTGTCGCCCGCGGGGGCGCAGAGCTGATCGCACTTTGCGCGTCGCGGTCTGGGCCAGAGCGGCTATCTTTCTCCAAGGGGGGGAGGGGGCGCGATGGCGCGGGCGTAATCGCACGTCGCGGGGCGCGATGCGCAAAGCTAGGCGACGTGGGGGAGGGCGGGGATGGGGACAACGACGAGGACGACAACGACGACGTGGACGAGGCTGAGGACGAGCACGGCGACGACGCCGAACGCGAGATCGAGGACGACGCCGACGACGACGAGGGCGACGGCGAGGGCGGCGGCGGCGGCGGCCCCGCGCCCGAGGCCGCGAACGTGTGGCCGCCAGTCGAGGCCCTGGAGCGGCTCGGGGCCTCGTGGAGGGAGGCCATGGACGGCTTCCTCGACCTCTCCGTGCGCGCGGCCAGGCGTGCTCCACCGCCGAGGGCGTGCTGCTTCAGACTCGAGCAGGATCTTGGCATCGCTCGGACGTGTGCATTTTTTTCTCGGCGACGGCCATCGAGGACCATCCTTGATCATTTGGCGAAAAAACACGCGCGAAATCGAAAAATACACGAGGAATGGACGTCCGAGCGATGGCGAGGATTCGGTTGCGTTGCATGGCGCCTTCCAAGCCCTGGGCACCCCAAGGAGCAGGGCACACGATCGTTCGACGTCACCTTTTCGGCCTCGTTCAGTGGGGGGCTTGGGGGCCCCCAGAGTTGTCTTGCGCCACCATCTGTCAAAGGAAAGCACTGGTGTACTTGCACGGCACTTCGCCTCCCCACTCCTTCCGCCGCCTTTTTCAACCAGCGCTGGTCTGCAAACGCACAAAGGTGGTTCCCGACGTGCGCGAGTCAATAATCTTTTCGGGCCTCGCCACGCCCCTTCCCCTCTTCCTCCATACAAGTAGATTCGCCAGAGCCTAAGAAGAACCGCATCCATTCTCCGACACTCCCCCCCAGGGGCAATCCCTGCATTCTCAAAGCGTAACCCCAGATCTCCGACGATGCTTGTTGTTGATGTTTGCATCGATTACACGTTGCAGGTAAACCAGCTATACCCCCAGAGGGGGAACGGTCGAAGACGATGAGGGCGGGTATCGAGGTTTTGGTATATACGTGTTGAGTGGCACGCAAACAGGTGAGAGCGAACAGCTTCAAATATTGAAATGAGTGTTGTTGGTGGTGGTGTTACTGGTGCTGTTGATGTTGATGTTGGTGTCGTAGTCGTTGTCGTTGTTTTTTGTCGTTGTCGTTGTCGTCGATGTTGATGGTGAACCGTCCGGTGACCATCGTGCTTTTCAATTGAAGTGTTTCCGGGGCTCGCACCCTCTGTGTTTGATGGAAAGGTACAATTGTAAAATTGCGCCCCTGGCCCTCGGGTTACAACAACAACGGCTCCCGCATGAGACTTCCTCACAAAGGACCCCCGCTCCCGCCTGAGACTTCCTCGCAGTTTACTCAGGTATCGCGCTCTCGCTTGGGACTTCCGTACAAATTACACAGGAACCGTTTTTTGTTTCGGCGCTCTGGAGCCGCGCTCTCGCTGGAGACTTGCTTGCAATTTATTTCAGAATCTCGCTCTTGCGTTGGAATCCCCCGTACTTTACTCAAGCGCCTCGCTCCCGACACTCAGGCAACCAGGAGTCGCGCTCACGCCTAGGACTCCCTCACAGCTTACTTAGGAATCGGGAGCTCGCTGCCCTTCGTGGCACCGTTGCAGCCCTTCGTGGCCCCCTCGCTGCCCTTCGTGGCCCCGTTGCAGCCCTTCGTGGCCCCCTCGCTTCCCTTCGTGGCACCGTTGCAGCCCTTCGTGGCCCCCTCGCTTCCCTTCGTGGCCCCGTTGCAGCCCTCCGTGGCCCCCTCGCTGCCCTTCGAGGCCCCATTGCAGCCGTTCGTGGCCCCATCGCTGCCCTTCGTGGCCCCGTTGCAGCCCTTCGTGGTCCCCTCGCTGCCCTTCGTGGCCCCGTTGCAGCGCTTCGTGGGCCCCTCGCTGCACTTCGTGGCCCCGTTGCAGCGCTTCGTGGCCCCCTCACTACCATTCGTGGCCCCGTTGCAGTCGTGGCCCCTCGCTGCCCTTTGTGGCCCCATTGCAGCGCTTCGTCTTCGTGACCGCGTTTTTTGGTGGCCCCCTCGCTGCCCTCCGTGGCACCGTTGAAGATCGCGCTATCGCTCAAGATTTCGTAGCGATTCGTGCACGTCGCACGCTTCAGCAACCCGATTGCTCGACCTTGCCGCCTGGGCCCACCTTCCCGACCCGCCCGTTAGGGTCTACCCGCCCGATCTGCCGGTCTGGTTCTGCCACTTGCTTTCTGCTCCTAGCCCCCTTTCTGCTACTCTCTCTCTCTCTCGTGCTCCGTTATCCTCCTTTCGCCTTGCCCCTTCCTTCCGTCCGTCCTCTCTTCCCTCGCCTCGGTGGCTGCACGAAATACGCGTTGCAGATACAAAAAAGGCACGATCGAAGACGAAGAGGGCGGGTATCGAGGGTTCGGGGTATATGTGTTGAATGACACGCGGGCAGATCAGAGCAAACAGCATTAAAATCATTGTTGTTGAATTCTCACTACTGAAGAATAACGTAGCACCCCGCAGCTGCGGATAAGAGTGAGGGGGCGGTGGGGACGTCGGCAGTTTGCGAGACTCTGGAGAAGCCCGCCGCAGGCGCCAAAGTTGTACAAATTATACAACGATCCCGCCGCAGGCCGCAGGCGCCGATTTTTTCGTTAAACCAATGTAGGTAGGTCGCGGGTGTGTCGCAAATGGGTCGCGGGTGGGTCGGGGGTGGGTCGCGGGTGTAGAGAGCAGAAATCCACCCCATGATTATCACCCAAACCAGCGAAGCCGTTTAGCTAACGCACACAAGGAATGAATCGAACAGGGCAGGGTTGTATAGTAAACGCCCAGGGCCGTTTTGTCAACGTCAATTGTCGGGTCCGGGTGGTTTTTCCTCCCTTGGGGGTGGGTCGCGGGGTGGGTCGCGGGTGGGTCGCGGGGTGGGTCGCGGGTGGGTCGCGGATGGGTCGCGGGGTGGGTCGCGGGTTGGTCGCGGGTTGGGTCGCGGGTGGGTCGCGGGGTGGGTCGCGGGTGGGACGACGACAACCAACAATAACAACAACAGCAACAACAGCAACAACCTAACAATCAGAATTGTCAGTTCTAATTCCCTATTCAGCCACGCACCCAGGGACAATGAAGACCGTTCGGCCCCCTCACTCTGACTATTCTTGACCCCCCTCGGGTAACATGTCTGTTTTTCAATTGAAGTGCCCCTCCTGGGGTTCGCAGCCTGTTTTTTATATCAGGGAAAGTATTCCTCCTCAGACTGCGCTGTTGGCCCCCGAACAATGACGGTTCCCGCGTGATACTTCCTGACAATGTATTCTCAAATCGCGTTTTCGCGCGGGACCTCCTCACAATGAATTCAGGAATCGCGCTCTCGCGTGGGGATTTCCTTGCAATTTATTCAGACGCCGCGCCCTCGACATTCAGGAGTCACGCTCTAGCTGTGGATTTCCTCACGGTTGATTTGGGAATCGAGTTGCTGCTCGAGCATTCCTCGCGATGAATGCAAGACGCACGCTTCAGCAACCCGCCTGCTCGACCTGGCCGCCTCCTGGGCCTTCCTTCCCGACCCGCCCGTTAGGGTCTAACGCCCGATCTGCCGGTCTGGTTCTGCCACTTGTTTTCTGCTCCTAGCCCCCGTCCTATTCTCTCTCGTGCTCTATCCTCCTCCAGTCCCCTTGTCTCGTCCTTCCATCCGTCCTCTCTTCCCCTGCCTCAGGGGCTGCACGAAATACGCGTTGGATTAAAAAAAATACCTCAATAAGGGCACGATCGAAGGAGAAGATGGCGGGTATCGAGGGTTCGGGATAGACGTGTTGAGTGACACGCGAGCAGATGAAATCGAACAGTCTTAAAATCATTGTTGTTGTTGGTGGTGGTGTTGTTAGTCTTGAATTCTCACTTCTGAAGAAAAATGATTGTTGATCACCCCCCGGTGCACATTCTGTATTTTAAAATGAAGTGCCTCTCCCGGGGTTCGCACCTTGTTTTTCATAAGGGAAAGTCTTGAGCGTAAAATTGCGCCCCCGGCCCCCGAGTTACAACAACCACAGTTCCCGCTTGATACTTCCTGACAATGCATTCCCAAATCGCGCTCTCGCGCGGGGCTACCTCACATGCGCTCTCGCGTGGGATTTCCTTCAATTTATTCAGACGCCGCGCCCGCGACACTCAGGAATCACGCTCTCGTTGTGGATTTCTTCACGATGTGTTCGGGAATTGCACTGTCGTTCGAGAACTCCTCGCGATTCACGCAAGACGCACGCTTCAGCAACTTGTCTGCTCGACCTGGCCGCCTGGGCCCGCCCTCCCGATCCGCCTGTTAGGGCCTACCCGCCCGATCTGTCCGTCTGGTTCTGCCACGTGGTTTCTTTTCCTAGCCCTCCTCCTGCTACTCTCTCTCTCTCTCTCTTGTGATCCATCCTGCTTCCCCGCTCGTCCTTTCCTTCCATCCGTTCTCTTCTCCTCTGCCTTACGGGCTGCACGAAATACACGCTGCAGGTAAGAAAGATACACCCCGAAGGTTGTACAATCGTAGACGAAGAGAGCGAGTATCGAGGTGTTGGGATATACGTGTTGCATGGCACGCGAATAGATAAGAGCGGACAGTCTTAAAATGATGGTTGACGAATGTTTGTATTCTACAGAATAATGATTGCTGGTCTCTGGAAACGGTTCCGCGTGCTCTCGCCTCGACGCTGGTTGCAATTGCTCTGAAAACCAGGCTCCCGCTCGAGCGCGGGCTTGATTGTAAATGTGTGTCTTTGGAGGACAGGCTACAATTACAAAGGCTTTTGCTTGATACTTCCTCCTAATCTACCCCGAGACACCCTGTCTAGAGAGGCCCCCGAATTCAGAAATGGTGTTCTCATTCGAGACTTCCTCGCAAGTCAGTCAAGTTGGCGGCGGCCCAGCCACGACGACAAAGGCTCTTGCTCGATACTTCCTCACGATTTACTCCGAGAGCCCCTGGCCAGGAAAGCCCCCGAACTCAGGATCGGCGCTCTCGCTCGAGACTTTCTCGTGATGCAATCAAATTGGTGGAGGTCCAGTTACGACGACAAAGGCTCTCGTTCGATATTCCCTCAAGATGTATTCGCAGAAGCCCTTGCCAGAGAGGCCCCCGAACTCTAGACTGGCGCTCTCGCTCGAGAATTTTTCGTAATTCAGGCAAGTTGATGGAGGCCCAGACATAGCGACAAGGGTTCCCGCCTGATATTCCTCACTATGTAGCTCGAGAGTGTTTCGCACTTCACTCAGTGGCCGGCAAGGAAGATATGCCCCCCGAAAGGTGTTGCGATCGAAGACGAAGTGGGCGGGTATCGAGGGTCGGGGTATACAGAATGCACGACACGCATGCCAGTAAGAGCGAACAGTCTTGAAATGATTGTTTTTGTTGATGTTGTTGTTGAATTTGCATATCTGAAAATATATATATATATATATATATATATATATATATATATATATATATATATAATATATATATATATATATATGTTGTTGATATCCCCCCCCTCCAGGCACAGTCTGCGTTGTTCAACTCAAGTGCCCTTACCGGGGCTGGCATCCTGTTCTTAGCAGGGAAAAGATTTGGTCTCAGAATTGGGTTGGGCTCCCGCCGAATAGTTCTTCACAATGTATTCCCAAATCGCGCTCTCGCGCGGGACGTCCTCACAATGTATGCAAGAATCGCGCTCTCGCGTGGGACGTCCCCGCAATCTATTCAGACTCAGGAATCAAGGTCTCGCCGTGGATTTCCTCTCGATTTATTTGAGAATTGCGCTGTCGCTCGAGACTTCGTCGCGGTTCATGAAGGACGCACGCTTCAGCAACTTGCCTGCTCGACCTGGCCGCTTGGGCCCGCCTCCCCGACCCGCCTGGGTCTACCCGCCTGATCTGCCCGTTTGGTTCTGCCACGTATTTTCTGCTCCTGGCCCCCTCCCCCCTGCTACTCTCCCTCTCGTGTTCCATCCTCCTCCTTCCCCCTTGAGCTTTCCTTACATCCGTCCTCTCCTCCCCTGCCTCAGGGACTGCACGAAGTACGCGTTGTATGTAAGAAAGAGAGAGAGAGAGAGAGACACCCACGGGGGGGTACGATCGAAGATGAAGAGGGCGGGTATCCAGGGTTTGGGATACACATGTTTAATGGCACGCGAGCAGGTCAGAGCGGACAATTTGAAAATGATTGATGTTTCTGTTGTTGGTGTTGTTGTTGGTGGTGTTGGTATTGGTGTTGTTGGTGTTGTTCTTGTTGGTGGTGGTGGTGGTGCTATTGTTGTTGCTGCTGTTGGTGCTGATGTTGTTGCTGCTGTTGTTGTTGAAACCTCATATCTAAAGAATGATTATTGCTGATCCCCCCCCTCCGGGGCACATTGCATTTTCCATTGAAAAAACCCTCCATGGGCTCGCACCCTGTTTTCAAAAAAAGGAAAGCGAGCGGTCACCAAATTGGGCCTTTCGCCGCCGAGTTACAACAACAACGGCTCCCGCCTGATATTTCCTCACCCTGTATTCCCAAATCGCGCTCTCGCGCGGGACCTCCTCACAAGTTATGCAGGAATCGCGCTCTCGCGTGGGACTTCCTCGCAATCTATTCAGACGCTGCGCCCTCGACACTCAGGGATCATGTTCTCACGTTGGCCTTTTTTCGCTGTTATTTGGGAATGGTGCTATCGCTTGAGACTTCCTCCCGATTCATGCAGGACTCACGCTTCAGCAAACCCGCCTGCTCGACCAGGCTGTCTGGGCCAGCATTCCCGACCCGCCCGCTAGGGTCTGCCCGCCCAATCTGCCCGTCTGGTTGTGCCATCTGTTTTCTGCTCCCAGCCCCCATCCTGCTAATCTCTCTCGTGCTCCATCCGTCTCCCTCCCTCTTGCATGGCCAGGAGAGGAGGAGGAGGGAGCGAGGAGTTGTAACAAGCGTCCTTTCGATACCTGATGTCCTCTTGTGTTCTCGTTTGTTTGATCACGGATGGAATGTTCATGCGCCGCATTGGACTCTTCTTCGCTGGAGGGTGTGAGTGTGACGTTGAGCAAGACGACCAACAACAAACGACGAGAAAGGGTCCGCCGCACGCACGCACGTAAATGCCAGATAGCCAGAATTCCAAGTTTGGGGAGCCCGATTCTGTCGTCAACAGGACACATGATGGAAACGATGGATGCGACACAACACGAACAAAACGTTGCAGAGGACGAGAGAAACGGCTTGGGCACGGAGGACTCTTCTAGCACAGCCAGCACAGACTACCTTGCATATGAAAGAAGATGCAGTCACGCAGAAAGTGGACATGAAGATACGACCTTGCATATGAAAGAAGATGTAGTCACGCAGAAAGTGGACATGAAGATACGGACATTCGATTGACAGGTGCGGGACCCGGGACCCAATCAAGCGAGGACAGCAAAAAAACACCCGAGGGATTAGGGGATTGGGAGAAAGAGAGAGAAAGAGAGAGCGATTTCAAGCAGGGAAATGAACATGAATATATATATATATATATCATACGTAAAACGACTTGCGATGTAAATGATTCTCGAAGCGTTCAGCTTGAGAATGAAGCACGAAAGAATTCCCGCGACAGTCCTGCGATAACTATGCTCCGCAGGAGGAGAAGAGATTGATGCGGACCACGCTTTGAACAGCTTGGTTCAGAATTGGGCAGCCCAGCTACACGAAGATTTGATTGTTTACGCATTACGGTTTGGCAGAGATGTTATTTTCGCGCACGCGGTTGAAGAAAGGCATCGCAAACTTGTTTATTCTCGAACGAATGGAAAAGAGAGCCAGCGAGAAATCACACATGATGGGACATTTGGTGAGAGCTTATCTGATTTGATATTTGAGGAAATCTCGATAAGGTTGAAGTATGGACGCAAGTTGAAAGCTGAGAACATGAAATGAGGTATAACCGCCCAGTGTAAACAAGCAGATGTACAACAAGTGCTACGATATTGGTTTGTTGTTTGAATTGGTTTCGCAACTGCCAGACGGTAAGTTCTCGTTGTCCAGAGTGTGGCTCGGCGCACATTTCGCGAGTCGAAAGAGAATAATGATGTCACGCTTTGCCGTCTCCAAGTGTGCTGGCTGTCGCCTTCGGAGGCTCCAAAATGGTGCACAGACAACGCGCCTAGTAAGGACGCGCGCCTTCATCCAGGGCGCCCTTGTGTCCTTGCCTCTGTGGCCGTCCTTTGCCGTTTTCACAGGTCGCCCGCCGCCCAACTAAAATCCCAACCTCGGCCTCCGAGGGTCTTGCGTCCTTCACCACCCGTGCTTTCTACACGTCTTGACTGCATTGCGTCGTCTCGCCCACGCGCCACTGGGCGCATCACTTCTCGTCCCGACTTGAGTCACCGAGTGCGTGTCGCGACTCGCAGAAGCGCTTCCTCGCAAACGTCCAGAAAAAAGAAAACAGCCTTCCCAGAGAGAGAGAGAGATATATATATATATATATATATATATATATATATGTATAGCGGATCGTGAAGCCCCCGCGGCGGATCCAGGCCACCTGCGAGCAGATCACCCTGCGAGCGGTGGAGCGCGCTTGCCTGTAGAGGCAGGCCCGCCTCCTCCTCCTCCTCCTCCTCCTCCTCCTCCTCCTCCTCCTCCTCCTCCTCCTCCTCCTGCTCCGCCCCGCCCGAGCCTCTGGCGCGCGCCGTCCCTCGGCCCCGCTGCAGGCTTGCCATGGCTGCGGGCGCCCGCCCCGCCTCTGCGGGGCGGGGCGGGCCGCTGGCGCCCGCGGCGGCGCCGAGGGCGGCGCCGCGGCGCGCGGCGCGCGGCGGCCGCGCGGCGCCGCCGGCGCTGCTGCTGCCGCTGCTGCTGCTGCCGCTGCCGCGGCGGGGGCGGGCGTCGGCGGCCGCGGGCGTCGAGGAGCCGCCGGAGGCCCTGGAGGCGCGGGGCCAGCTGCCGGCGCTGCGCGTGGGCGGCCTGGGCCTCTCGAAGGTCTCGGGGCGGAGGCTGTCGGAGGTCCGCGCCGATGTCTTGGCATCGGCCCTGGGCGCCCTGCTGTCGTCCTCGTCGTCCTCGTCGTCCTCGTCGTCCTCGTCGTCCCCGTCCTTGTCTCACCCCCATGCGGCGCCGATCCGAGAAATCCGCGCGGACCTCCGAAGGCTTTTGTTGATGCCGTGCTGTGTTCCTCGATCAGGGCGCGTTGTGTCGCTAATGATAGTCGGCGCAGCGGCTGGCACGGAGCCCCCGTTATTCCCTGGTGAGGCAGCGTTCGGCGCGCCGTTGGGGCCTCTATCCATCCCAGGCCATTCCCAGACCCCGCGGGCGCAAAGCGTTACGTCACCAGGCCCCTCCTCCCCCCCCCGGCGGTGACGCCCGTCATGCAGGGAGGATCTCAGCAAAGAGGCTTCTTTCGGACGGCGCCAAGTACACCGACGCCGATCCTGGTTGGTCCCATCCTGGGCTTAACTCAAAGTGGGCAATGCGGATGGAGCCGGAGGCAAGGGACCCCTGCATCCTTCAATCTCGTGCGCACTCGCATCCTTGGCATTCTTGGCGCCAGCATCCTTGGCATCCTCGGGCGTTTCCTGAGGTGCCCTGCGTACTCACTCTCGCGCCTCTCGCCGACGTGTTGGCCATGCCAGGCAGGTGAGTGCACCGATCGTGGGCCCAGGACGAGACGGGCCTGGCTCCTGGATCGGTGCGAAGCTGGCGTCCTGAGGTCTTCCGCCTACGTGGCCCGTCGCTGGGCGGAGGGGACTGGAGCTACACCCACACCGCGGTGGGCCCAGACTACCAGGCCGCGACGTTTCGTCTTCATCTTCGCCCCCATTCCCAGTCCTCCTCCAACCCCTCCTGATCTTCTTGTGTTTCCTCTTCCTGTTGTTTCGCTCCTCCTGTCATCATGCTCATCCTTCTCCTTATCATCCTGTGTTCCTCCTCCTCTTCCTCCTCCTCCCCCTCCTCCTCCCCTTCCTCCCCTCGTCTTCTTCCCCCTTGCCTCCAACCGTCTCATCCCCCTCCGCTTCTCGTCACTGGGTGCCTTCCCTCCTCGTCACTCCCCTCCCCTCACTCCTCTCCCTTCTCCCCTCCTCCTCACTCCTCTCCCTCCTCCTCCTCCTCCTCCTCTCTCCTCCTCCTCCTCCTCCTCCTCCTCCTCCCTCCTCCTCCTCCCCCTCTGTCTCCCTGCTTTACCCCCTCCCTCCCCTCCTCCCCCCATCGCCCCTCCCGCTCTCCTCCCGCGGGGGCCGCCCGCGAGGAAAGCCCCGCGAGGAGGCTCGCGCTCGGCGACGCGCCGACGCTGGACGACCTCTCGGACGTGCCGTTCGGGTCGTACCTGACGCCGCGCGAGAGGCCCCGCCGTCCGCCTTCGGCCGTTCCTTCCAGAGATTCACTCAACGGCACCGTAACGGGTACTCACTAACGGGTACTTTGAATGGTTGCCGAAGGTTCCCGCTTTGAGGCCTTTGTCTTGCATTGCAGTTTTTTGCCCACATCGGGAAGGGCGGGGTTCGCTGGGTCACTGGCCAAAGTACCCGTTAGTGGAGTCCCCGTTTGAGGGGCGCTGATTCACGGTGTTCCAACCTTCTGTAGCCTTGATCACCAGGAAGAGTGTCGAGCACCAGCAAAAGTACCGAGACTCGAGGGCTCTCACGCGTCGGGCCCTGGGAGACACTCGTCCGACACTGTTTCGACACTGTTTCGACACTTTGCCGGGTGCTCGACATCATTTCCAGGATGCGGCCCTGAAGCACGATGGGAACAACATAACCAGAGATCCGAGGCTCCGAAAAAAGTTGGAACGCTTAGTTTTGGACAATGTTCGGCCTCCGGGGGGCCCTCAACGGGCCGGGGGACCGCCAGAGAAACGACTCAGGACGGCAACTTGACCCTGGGGACGACGTCCCGGCTTCCAGGGGCCCACGCATCGATAAGATTGGAGCGCCAAGTGCTTGGGCTTGCCTCTCTCCATCTATCCCCAGGGCTTGGCATCGCTCGGACGTGTGCGTTGCTCTCGTTGAGGACCATCGGAGAGCATCTGGACCCATCTTCGGACAAAAATACACGCACGAAACCCAAAAGTGCACGGGAAACGGATGTCCAAGCGATGGCAAGCTGAGAGGCTGGGTGCCCTGCCCTTGGGCGCCTCCATCGACAGCCCTCGGGCGCTCGCAAAGGGGCCCCCCCCCGCGCCGCGACCTGGCGGCGCGCTCTCACACGCGATCTGCGGTGCGACGTGTGCTGGAGCCCCCCGCGCCTCGGGGCACAGCGGGGGGCACGTCGGAGGTCCGCCCGCGCGCGCCGCGCCCCGGCATCCCAGGCTGGGCCAGGGGCGAAAGAAGGACGTACATGCACATGAATCCACGCTGGTTTCGAGAGCACGCATTGCACAAATGTTCGTATAACGCGGCCGGTCTCGCGAATCGAGGGGCCGTGTTCATGTACATAGCTGGGCGCGTACGTCCTTTGTGGGCACGGCCTAGATACATGGCCGCCTCCGGCGCCGGGAGGCGCCGGGAAAATCAGCTACGTGAGCTGATTCTCAAACCCCCCCTTTCGCTATCCCCCCCTGTCGCCCGACCCGATAAGACCCCTCTGCGGTCTGCGCGGCCTGTTTTTAGAGCAGGTACGTCTGGGACAGCCTTGCTTTCAAACGCCTGCTTGATGTTGTCAGAGCACTGCTTTTGTCCTTTGAGCACTGCTTCGTCCTAGGAAAACTGCACGGTAGGCCTAGGGGAATTCCGGGACGGTCGGCCCCTGCTCGACCCAGCGGGCACCGCCCTCGGTTGGCGCTTGTGCGATTCGGGATGACTCCGCGCGCGAGGTTGCCGGTGTGAGGTCGCGCGTGGCCGCCCTCTTTTTCCCATGGGGTGTGCTGCGCTGATGGTGGCCTGCACGTGTCACATGGCGTGAGGCGTAAGGTCGTCGCGTCGCGGTGCTCTCGATCGCCGTCTTCCTCCTCGTCCTCCTCTCCCTCGTCCCTTTCGTGCGTGTCCTCGTCCTGTTTCCGTAGCCGCTTTACCTCAAGATGTTTTTTTGTCCGTGGCAGAGCACTAATGCCGCTAGTCCGCCTCCATTCCCGCCTCCCGTGTCCCAGTCATGGTGCTGCAGCCGCCGCGACCCCGCATCGTGTTGCGCGGCCTTCGCCGAGGGGCGTTGACCTGCGGGCGATGCGGCGCAAGCGCGCAGTGGGCGTGCAGCAGCAAATGCGCCTGCGGCAACGACGCCCCCGCCCGCATCCGCCAGGCAGGATGGGACAATCTCAAGCTGTGGGGTAAGAACTCCTTCGAGAGGCGGAGGGACCCTGCTCGACCTCCTCGCAGGCCTAAGGTCGGCCCCGACCGCGGCAAGGGTTTGGTGAGAAGCAGGCATCCCGGCCATGGCCCCAGGTCGTCAAGGCTGATCCAGTGGCGGCCGCGCCGAAAATTGACGCCAGGGAATATGACAATCGTACCAAAAGTTCTGTTCAAGTGGTGTGTTCAGAGAGGCCTCGATCCAATTTTTCCGTCTGGCGAGCTGAGGCGTTTCGAAAGCCGTGGCAGTCCAAGGTAAACGCCACCAGGAAGAAACATAAAGAACTATGACCTTCTGCGGCGGTTTACCGCCGAGCCACGCAGGCCGAGAACAAGGTAAGATGTTCCCTTGGCCGCGTGGCTGAAGAGATGGATGGACAGGAGGAGCAGCGCAAGAAGTCGCAGGATACGATCGCCGAACAGAAAGTTACACCTGCAATTGAGAAAGCAGTAGTGGCAACTCTGTAGAAGGAGGTCAGGCAGAATGCCCACATTGTTAGAGGAGGAGACGAATCCATGACCCCAGCCTCGGCCTCATCAGCGAACGCAGCTGACGTCCGCAACGTCAAGCCAGAGAAGATCGATGACCGAGATCTCAAGAGTTTCATTGGCACACATGCATGGGCCACGCTGCGCGAGCTGCTCTCGCTCAGGATCCCCGTGCCTGGTGACACTGATGAACCGATGGGTGCTAAAAAGATGATGGTAATCCTGAAAATGGCAAACTTGGGATGGGCAGCTCCAGCGCAGCTGGCCGGAACCCCAGGCGCGGTTTTGACGGCGCGGGGCCAGCAGGGCAGCAGGCCCTGAGCGAGCACGGAAAGACAGCCAGCGTCGAGGAGTTCGTTGCGAAGCCCCGCGGGTTCGGGAAGAACCACGAGATGGGTGACGGCATCTTGTTATCTGGCATCAGGTTATGCCGTGGTGGAGTGCGCGCTCAAACCCCGGCTACCCCCCGAGGCACTTGCACGTTCGCTACCTTCAACGCCAGTAGAAGCACGTTTACGTGAAAGGATATGATCCAATGAACCGCAAACCACGGCGCGTTAATCCAGGAGGCCGGTTTACCAGCCGAAATTGGGAGTCGTTGAACAGCTGGGCTGCCAACAGAGGATGGGAAGTTCCAGCGGCACCTGCGCGCCCGACGGCGGGATCCGCACCATCAATGGGGGGTCGCCCGACGGCGGGATCCGGGCCATCAAGGGGAGTCGCCGTTTTGCCGCGGCACGACTTCGGGCTCTGCCCCCATCGGGGTGGTCAACTGATTTTCGATTGCAGGTTGCATCGCGTGCTGAATGGCACGCAAGCACGGCCCAGTCCGTCTGTCTCGAACGCACAACTGCGGGGCCCCATCGGCGCCAGTGGCGTGGATGTTGAAGCGATGGCAGCAGATGGAAGGATTACGTCACTCGCCAGTACCACATGCACTACCGGCGGCGACTAACGCATGACGGGTCCTGATCTGGAGGGGTCTGAATTTGCCGGGTTGACTGCGTCTGCATTGGCGATCCCAGATCCAGTCGCCAGCAGCGGAGGATCTGGATGCTTAGCGGTGCTACGTTGAGGGGGCACTAGGGGAGTGCAGGCGCAGTCTAGCCGGCACAGGGAGGCCCGCCGCCCTGTTCTCGTCAAGTTCGTCGGCAACAGGCGCGCGATGCAGCGCGTCAATACTCGGTCGCGACGCGGCCCACGCGCGAGCCCCCCACCCACCTCCAGGTCCGCTCACGACGCCGATCGATTGGTCCACATGCGCTGCTCTTGCAGACATGGCCGCGCGGGTGGCCAGCGGTGCCCCCTGCGGTCCAGCCGCGGCATGGGCGGTTACTTCCAGCGTCTACGTTAAGCTCGCATTAGGCGTGGCCGATCTTGTCGCCAGATACGCCGGCATCGATATAAGGGGGCGTCGGGGCACGCGTCAGAAATCTCAAGACTCGACGGGCGACTGCCGACTGCCACAGACCACAGAGCAAAGATGGCAGCGCATAAGGCAGATGCTGATCATCATCGCGAAGTTGCGAGCGAAGCCTAAGATGATGGCCGATGTCGGAAGAAGCCGCACAGCTTGTCTGCGACGCCCACCGCGGCGCCAGCCTCAGTGGGCGGCATGACAGCGCGGCGCAGCAAGCCGAGCATGAGATATTTCAGAATCCACTGGGGCCCACCCGCATCCATAGTTTCTCGACCGACATCGACGAGGACATAGAGCTCAACATCAACGGTCGGGAGAAGGACGCGGATGCTTCGAGGAACGAGCGGTGCCAAACAGCAGCCAGCGGAGGAGCTCGACCTCTACGTCGCCCGACGAAGTTGCGTACCACGTCGGCCCCAGCGGCTGCAATTGGCGCCCCGCCAGGGGGCCCGATCATCATTGACAAGTGGGTGGTCGAGCTGCATCGAAAGCTGCGGGGCGCCGAGTCTGCCGCATTTTCAGCAGGATACCCCCCCGGCAGAAGCAGCTGCTCAATGCTGGATCCAGATGCGACGCGCAAAGTAGCAAGGAGTGTCCCCGCAGGAACATCAGCTAGCCCGGTCAACCCCCACCAAAGGGACGCGGACCGACTGGATGATGACGGACTCAGCGCGCTGGCAGCGATTTAGAAGGCATCGGAAACAGTGGGCGCATTGCCGAAGCAGCTCTGTATATGATGTTTTCTAGGAGTGCCAAACGGAGGCAGCAGGTTGCTTGTTCTACATGGCAGGCACACACCGCAGTTGGCAGCGAGCGAGACGTCCACCAGCACAGCACGCGCGCTAAGCGCTGGACACGCAATAGTGGGAGCTCCCACAGGGCGCCCCGCTGCCGTCTGCCCACGGGCGCGAGCCAGTCGTTCTGACCAGACCTGACACGTCAGAAGCGCGACGCGGTACTCGTGGCGGGTTGGTGAAAATATGACGAGACGATGCCGCTCGACGTTCTGCGCATCAAAAAATTGCGGCATGGCGCCCCAGCATGCTGGATGAAGATGTTTCCCATACGGCTGCGCCCGAGCATCATTCGCCTCGGCGAACATCTGAAGTTCATTGCGTGTTCGCTAGACTCGGACCCCCAACAGGCGACGCGCGCGCAGGCAGCTGTCGAGGCGAAGGCAGTGGACGCATTTGCCGACACCGTTGTTGCAAAGGCGCCTACGATCGACGCCCAGAGCTACATCGACGGCGCGGGCCTCCACTGCGATGACAAGCTGGCCATCGCTGCGACATCGCAGTAGCTCGCGAATATGTTGCGAACACCTGGAGCTCGGTCGCACCTCGGCGCGGACGCAGCTGCTTGAGCCACCTGGAGGCGACCCAGAGCCAGAGACATTTTCGCGACCACGAGAAAAAGGATGCGCAATGTGAGAGCCATGCGACAGTGCTTCAGGAGCCCCATGGTGACCCCGTTTCGAAAGTTTCATCGCAATAAATTACCCTTGCAAGTTCTTCTGGAGTGGAGGTCTGTGGAATCAGTTTTTTCTTTTTTCCTGAATTGCTATTATCACACCAGCGACTCGCGTCTATTGCGGACCCACCCTCTCGCAGCGGCCCCCCTCTTTCAGCTAGGTTCGCTCGCAGCCGCGAGGCGTCGCCCCGGGGGCCCTGCACCAGACCCCAGCCATGGCCGAACACGTAGGCGCGGCTGTCCGCGGCCAGGTTGCGAGCAGGCCACCAGACCCAACATCAGAGCGCAAGGCCACCATCAGGGATGCCCAGCAGGACATCGCTCGGCAGTTTGTCTGTTTCGAATCAGTTTGCCGACGCCGGGCTCGGCGCCCAGAGGCCCGAGCCCCGCCCCCCCCTCGCTCAGTCTGCGGGTCGCGTCAAAGCCCACAGCTCACAGAAAGAGATCAGGCAGCTCGAAGGTGTAGATCGCTCGTTCGTCATAGAGGCCCACTCGTTTCCGCGCAGGCCGCTCAAAGCGGCAGCGCAGCTGGCATTCTTTGCAGCAAGCAGAGTTTGGGCCCCGGGCGCCCGCTGGCGGCGGAAGGAGCGCCTGACGGGGCACCCCCCGAGGGATTGATGTAAAGGCGCCCCAAGTATCTTGAGCCGGGTGTTTTCGAACTCTCTCGGCGATTCCTTCGCTGCCGTGGCGGGCCTGGTTATAAGCGAAGAGGTCCTTGGGATGGCGCGCCAGGGGATGCGCCCCTGTCGGCGGGCGGGAACGTGGCTGGACATGGCCGCCCCACTGTCACGGCTGCGCCATGACCCGCCCGACCCCGGGGACTTCGGCTTCCACGGCTGCGAGGGCGAGTTGCCCCCACCCGACAGGTCGGGGTCAGTAGATTTTAAGAATAGACCTCCCGGCCCGCCCGCCCGCCCTGCACGCCGCGGCCGCAAGACCCCCAAGCTCCCGATATTATCGGGCGCCCCTGCCCCCGACCGCCCTGCGCACCGCGGCCGCCAGACCCCCAGGCCCCCGATAATCCCCGGCAGCCCTGCCCCGCCCCCCCCCCGCCTTGCGCGCCGCGGCCGCCAGATCCCCAGGCCCCCGATAATCTTCGGTGGCCCCGCCCCCCGCGCCGACTCGCCCACTCTGCACGCCGCGGCCGCCGGGCCCCTGGGCCCCCCACAGAACAGAGCATAACACTACACCACCGAACATAACATATCCGATCATAACGCACCATTTCACGACATACCATATGTTTTCGCAACACAGCATGACAGAGCAGCGCATACCATAGCACACATCACAGCACATATCACCACATAACATGACAAAGCAAGCATACCATAACAAATCAACCAGGACTGAACATGCCAAACCAGAACATGGCACAGCATCACAAATCCTTGCACACCATATCTTAGCACAACACGGCAACACAACGCCGACTGACGGCCCAAGACGGTCGCTGGCGCTCCCAGGGCGGCCCTAGAGGAGGAGGAGGAGGAGGAAGAGGAGGGGGAGGAGGAGGAGGAGGAGGAAGAGGAGGAGGAGGAGGAGGGAGGAGGAGGAGGAGGGAGGTGGAGCACATCAGAACATAACATGGAATAACACCGTCCGAGACCACCGCGCCCCACGCACATCGTTGCGCGCGCGCCTTCGGGATCCAGCGCCGGAGGTTTCGGCGGGGATCGCTCGCAGCAAACAATTCGGCTTCGGGGGCGGCCCCCATCCTAAGGGCAAAGAGTGAGCGTTGTGTACGTCTGTGGGGCAGCGATCGCGCTCCCTTTGCTGGCAGCCATTTCGGGGCGCACGGCCGCCCCTCGCACTCGGCGCCCAGACTCGCACTGCATACTCGCACTTCGCACTCGCACCCCGCAGTCGCCCCCCGCACTGCGCGCCCACACTCGCACATCCTACTCGCACCCCGCACTCGCGCCCGCACACTCACCCCCCCCCCCCCCGCTTTGCGCCCGCGCGACGCGAGAGCGAGGCGCGGGCCAGCTCGGCGCACGAAGTCGGGGACGCCCGCCCCACGGTGAATTCGCACTTCGCACGCGAGGAATCAGCTCGGACAACCAACTCGCGAAATCCATTCGGCACCTCCGATCGCGAAACCAAGGCGGCAAATCAACGCGGCACATCAACTGGCGAAGTCAACTCGGCAGGGCGCCCCGCGAGATCAAGTCTAGAGATCAACTCGGCAAGTCAACTCGGGAAATCAACCCGGCAAACCAACTCGGGAAAACAACCTGGGAAATCAATTCGGGAAATCAATTCGGGAAATCAACGCGGGGAACCAACTCGCAGTTCGCAGTTGGAATGGCAAGTCAAAGGCCAAGAAGTCAACGCCAATTCAACTCGCCATCTCAGCGTTCAGCGCAAGCCAACTCCACACATCAACTCGGGAAATCAGCTATGTAAATCAACTATGTAAAACAATTCTGTAAATCAACTCTATAAATCAGCTCTGTGATTCAATTCGGCAAATCAACTCCTGTAAATCTACTCGTTAAGTTTGTAAACCAACTCGGGAAACCAACTCAGCAAATCAACTCGGGAAATCAAATCGGCAAATCAAATCGGTAAATCAAGTCTGTAAATCAAGTCGGGAAATCAACTCGTATAATCAAGTCGGTAAATCAACTCGGAGTTTGGTGTGGGGTGTGAGTGTGGGGTGCGAGTGTGTGCGTAGACTGGGCGTAGAGTGTGGTGTGTGTGGGGTGCGGGTGTGGGCGTAGAGTGTGGGGTGTGAGTGTGGGGGTCGAGTGTGGGCGTGCAGTGTGGGGTGCGAGAGTGCGCGTAGACTGGGCGTAGAGTGTGGGCGCGAGTGTGAGAGGCGAGTGTGGAGTGCGAGTGTCGGCATGGAGTGTGGGCGCGAGTGTGTTCGGCGAGTGTGGGCGTCGAGTGCAATGCGTTTCTGGCCTCGAGCTAGTACTGGCCCCCAAGACATACACAAAGTGAGTGGTTTGCTTGAGCGAATTCGAGTGAATGAGGGCGTTCGATGTTCTCCCGTGCCATCCAGGAGAGATTTGCATTGTGGCTGTCTGCACCGTTGGAACCCTGCACCCCCCGCCGCAACCGCGAACGTCGAGCCGCGACGGAACCAGACACCCGTAGTGTCTGGCCCGTATTTGTGGCAGCCTTTTGTCATATTGGGTGAGGGGGGCGAAGATCAAAGTGAAGTGTGGAGGGCACTTGCACATGGTGCTGGCAGCACGGCTGCCACTGAGGACCAGGGCTTAGATCCGTCCCAACAGACGGTACCAGCAGATATTCCATTCCTCCTTCTTCCCTTCCTCGCCCTCGTCCTCGCCCCCCTCGTCCGGGAGGCCTCTCCCCAATCCCTCCCCCAGCGCCTCCCCTGGAGAGGGTTCGCGCGTTCGTGGCGCTCAACGCCGGCGTGCTGTCGCCGGCGACCTACAACATCACGCAGAGGTTGCAGGATTGGGGGCTCGTGTACGACCAGGCGCAGCAGTTCTTCGTCCCGGAAGCGGAGCTCAACGAGACGGGCGACAATCTGTCGCTGCTCCGCGCCGAGACGGAGGTCGAGGCGCTCACCGACGAGGCTTCCCAGATTCGGGCCACCGCCGCCGAGGTCGACGACGCCGCGTTCGCGGAGCACTTCCGCGGCGCGCGCGGCCCGGAGTGCGACGGGAGCGGCGACGGCACGGCCCCCTGCCTCGGCGACCACGGCGCGGCCATGTCTGTTTACGAGGACGCCAAGAACAAGGTCCTCGTTTTCCATGGCAGCTGGGACCCGTCCGAGTATAACTACATGATGTGGGCGCACAAGGCGGGCCGTTCCTTCTGTTCCTCCTCTTCCTCCTCCTCTTCCCTCCTCCTCCTCCTCCTCCTCCTCCTCCTCTTCCTCCTCCTCCTGGCAGGCACGGGCGGCGATGATGTCCAGATCCATGGCCTCATGGTCTGGACACCGATGGGCTTGATCCCATGCCAGACCGCACGTCATTCATGGGGCCATGGCATAGGAATCCAGACCGCGAGGCCGTGGGAATGGATATGTTATCCGCCCACGACTGAAGGCGACGGTTGAGGAGGAGGACGGGGACGATCAGGAGGAGGAGGAGGAGGTCGAGGAAGGGGGGAAGGGAGGGAGGGTTGGAGGAGATCCAGAAGGGTAGTAGGAGAAGGTGTGGGTCTTAGAGCGCTTCGAGCGCGCCCTGAACATCATGTGGTCGATCCAGGCGGAGCAGGAGGCCACCGCCGAGATGGCCGAGCGCTCCTACGGCGCGTACGTCGAAGGCCAGTACGAGGTCGCAGGGCGCCACCTACTTATCCGAACACCTATCCTGCATCGGCCCATCCTGGGCCCAGGATCAGTTCACACGCCTCCCTGGCCAAGCCAGGAGGGCGTGTGCAACGATCCTGGAACCAGGGTGGGCCTGGCCAGGATCGGTGTGGCGTATAGTTTGCGTCCTCCCACGAGGGTGCAGAAGACGAGAAAGTGATCCGCTGCGCCTTCCATGACTTCGAGTACAAGCCAGCGCCCGACGCGGACGCGGTTGCTCTGGCGACCCAGCTGCTCGGGTCGGACATCATAGCTTCAGGTTTCTGGGAAATGGTGAAGGAAATCGTGCGCCAGGTCATCCCCGAGGGTGGCGAGCTCTTCAAGACGGTGTACCTCACCGGCTCTGGCAGGGGCGGCACTTTCGCGGCGCTCGTGAGCATGTGGCTGAAGAGGTTGGACGCTACAGCATTGAGCACCTACGTCTTCGCACCGGACGGGGGATGGCAGTGCCTCGCCCGAAGGCTCTACGCCAGGGACATCACGGCGCACGACGACCACTCCCACATCCTGGTGTATTCTCACATCATGGACGCGTACGCCGGAGCGCTGGACAAGGCACTGGCGGCGCACAGAAGGGCGTGGCACGAGGGGGGCGGCTTCCGAGAGGCCCTCTCGGACGCCCCTGGGCCCCGTGCCCTTCCTGGAGAGGCCGCTCCCCCTCGCCCCAGCCCCGCCCGCGTGCCGCCACCAGGTGGCAGGCCAGGTTTGCCTCTACGGCTTCAGGAACTTCACCGGCGCCGTGCAGCGATTCTGCTCGAAGATCGTGGGGCACACCGGGCCCCAGCTCCTGTTCCGCGGCGAGTCCGGCCCGCCCGAGCCGGACCCCGCGGTCAAGAAGGCCAGGCGGTATTTCGACGCCTGCCACTACTTCACGCACTCGGTCTGGTACGCGGCGATCCTCCTGCTGGACGACGACGTGCTGGATCTGAGTGGCGCCACGGACGGCGGCTGCCAGACGGTGGCCTCCGTGCCCCGGGACGACGCGATGGAGGAGTGCCCGCTGTCGTCGCCAGCGGAGGTGGACTGCCAGCTCGCGGCCGTCACAGGGCAGGGGCTTCCCATGCAGGCTCGGGCGGCGCGTGAGTACGGCAGGCTCGCGCCGCGTCGACGCGGCGTCTGCCCCGGGGCGGGCCCTGGCGTTCCAGGTGAGTTGGAATCGGCCGACGTCGGACTACCTGCGCTGTCGGAGTGCCGCGATCGTGTCAGGTGGGCCCATTCCGATGGTGTCAGAAGCAACGCGCGAGTCGTCTCGACCCGAACATGCCAGAACGGGGGTTGGCGCTAGAGGGGGTCAGCCAGCCAATCCCCTCCGATTTCTCCTGTTTAAGTGTTGAGCACCCCCCCCCGCCCCTCTCCCCGCAGACCCGGCTCCTTGGGTTGGCTCTGGCCCCGGTCAGCGCGTCCCCGGGAGGCGATGGCGATCGTGGGTTTCTCCCTGCTGGGTCTGATTTTCAGCGTGGCTTGCTGCGGTCCATGGGAGGGTGGACACAATCGGCCGCGCGCGGAGGGGAGTTAGGGGAGGGGGAAAGCTTCTTAGAAGCACCCCTGCTTCTCAGACCGCGCGGACCTTCTAGATGTCAGGGAGCCAGAGACGGGGTAACAGCAGTCGGGATAACAGGAAACGGCCGGCTCGAGGCATCAAATGGCCCTCTTGGTGCGGTGCAGCTTGTGTCGCTTTCGCGTTCGATGCAGCACCTTCCACATGCTGGCTGCGTTGCACATGTTCGGCTGCTGCACTGCAGCTTTCTGTTTTGGGCCCTCTGTTACCCGGCCTGTGGGGGTTGTTTGCAGTTTTTCCGCAACTAGTTGCCAACAAACTGCAGTGCAGTCGTTTTTGCGCCGCAGAAAAACGCAGTGCATGTTTCTGTTCGGGCCGTCGCAGTTGTTCCACCTGGATCCCATGATGGGTCTGTTACCCCGCTCAGGCGCTGCCCGGTTCAGTGCTCCCCGAAGATGAACGTGAGGCGATGTGAGGCCAGCGCCTTCTAAGAAGCAGCCTCACTCCAAGATGAACTTGAGGCGATGTGAGGCCAGCGCCTTCTAAGAAGCAGCCTCACTCTAGGAAGCCTTCCCCCCTCCCCCCATACCCCCTCCGTGCGCGCCGCCAGCATGAGGCACCCGGCGCAGACGCTAGGCGTCCGCGGGCGGCTCCTCCTCCAGCGCCGGGCTCCCTCCCCCGCGCCCCTGCCAGGCGCACGAGAAGAGAGCCGCGCGGGGGTGCGGCGGATTGGGGCCCCGCCGCCCGCCATTCGGGTCGGGCGAAAGGGGGGGATTGGGAAAGGGGGGGGTACGAAATTTGCTGCATGCAGCTGGTTTCGGCCTCACCGAGGGGCCCATTCCTCGATACATGGTCGCCTCCGGCGCCGGGAGGCGCCGGGAAAATCAGCTACGCGAGCTGATTCTCAAACCCCCCCTTTGCTATCCCCCCCTTTCGCCCGACCCGAGCCATGGGAGCCGTCCGCGGGCGTCCGAGGTTTGCGGCCACCTCTGTGAGCGCGCTAGCGGCGATGAAGGCAACGGCGAGTCCGTACGTATCTTAAGGGTGGGAGAACCACCCCGACCCCGACAATTCGCGTTCACTAAACAGCCCTGGGCGTTTACTAAACAGCCCTGCCCTGTTCGATTCCTTCCATGGGTGCGGTTACTAAACGGCTTCGCTTGTCGGGGTGCTTAGGATGGGGGTGGATTTTCTGCTCTCTAGGATTGTAGGTGGGAGTGGTTCGTGGCCCACCGTGTTTTCCCATAATCGGAGGTGGACAGACCTCCTATCCTGACACGTCGATTAGTGAATTGGCCGTTCTCGGTTCGCGAGAGGGCGTCGCGGCCGTCATTTCTGCGGGTCCAGGTCCGCTGGTGTCGGTCCCAGGCCGTTTTCATTAAAAGGAGGTTTATTACAGGGAGGTTTGTCCACCGCCGATGTAGGTGGGAGTGGTTCGTGGCCCACCGTGTTTTCCCGTAGCCCGTTCTGGGCGAGTTCGGCGTCGCAGAGACCAGGTTCCCAACCTCGCCGTTGACCAGCATGGCCGTTAGCGCCGCCTTGTCATCTGATTACAGTCGGGGCCCTGAAGAAGGAACCCTTTTGGTTGGGGAGGGGCTCCGTGTTCCTGAAGTGTTTCGCAGCTTGCCTCAGGTTTCCCTTCTGTCTTCGATGGGGAGTCGAAGTTTCACGTATGGAAAACAGGTGCCCCGTTCCTTATTTAGGGGTTCCTTAGGTCAACGCCCCGACTGTCTTTGGCGACCCAGGTTTTTCGATGTCTGTTCATGGGAGCCTCGGGTGGCAACATTGGAATCAGCTTTTCCTGCATGTGGACAGCGTGGGGGCCACATTTGGCCCATCCTCCTGCTCCTCCTCTCCCCTCCTGTTCCCCCTCCCCCTCATCGTTCTCCTAGCCCCCACGAATCCAGTCCAAATCCGGTCCAAATGTGTTCCAAATCTGGTCCAAATCAGGTCCAAATTGGACAGTGCCGGGGGCCACGCAGGCTCCCATGGAACGGACACCAAAAGGTTTCGCCCTGCTCCGCCGCGTGCGCAACGAGAAGTGGCTCTTCCACGCCCTGTCGCTCCGGCTCGACCGGGCCGCGGCCAAGCGCGAGGAGGCGGCCACGAAGGCCCGGCTCGCCCGCGAGCGGGCGAACAACAGGGAGGCCCGGAGGCTGCAGAGGGAGAAGGTCGGGGGCGGACAGAACCCCCAACAGTGACACGTCGATTAGTGAATTGTCCGTTTTCGGTTCTCGAGAGGGCGCCGCGGCCGTTATTTTCCAGGCTTGCGCCCGCCAGGTTTTGGCTCGAAGTCGTTTTCACTAAACCACGTTTTACTAAAGGGGGGTCTGTCCATCCCCGAGAAGGACAAGCGCATGGGCATCAAGAGGGAGAAGGTCCGCAAGCAGGGCCAGGACAGCGAGGAACCAAACAGGCTCCTGAGGGTACAGGGGTCTGGGGCCCTTTGTAAAACAGGGCTGGGATCGGGATGAATCGCTCCAGAGCGTCCCGGAGCGCTCTCAGAGCGTTCCAGAACGCTCTGGAGCGGCCGCGGCGCCCAATACATCCTCCAAACCCGCCGATTCTCAGAGATTTCGAGTTCTCCCGATCCGATTTTGTCCCGATCTTCGCGTCGTTTTACTTTGGGGGCCTGCTCGAGGGCCCCGGGAGAGATTGCAGACGGCTCCATGGAGAGGACGAGCCGCCGGTGGCCCAGCCGACCCGATCCGATGTCGATCCCGTGCCGATGCGACCCGATCCAGCGCACATTCCGATTTGTCAGGAGGGAAAAAACACACAGACACATTCAATCGTCGATTCCCCAGAAAATATGGGAAAATATGGGCAGAGGGGGGGGGAGACAAAAACCCAGCAAATATAGGACAACATAGGGGAATCTGTTTCTTTGAGTGTAATTATCTGTGTGTCCTGGGGCCCCTTCAATTTGGTTTGACTTCCAGATTCGATGCCGGCGGGCCTCGCCGCCCAGCTCCAGGGAGGGACTCCCCGAGGCCCCAGGGCCCCCCCTCCCCTCGGGGGCCCCTCCGGCTCGCGGCGGCCAGGAGGAGCTGGAGGGCGTGCTGATCGGCACGCCCGGCGCAGGCACCGAGGTGGAGGAGGAGCGGGGGCGGCAAAGCGGGAGGCGAGACACAATTAATCGTCGATTTCCAAGAAAATATTGGAAAATATGTGAAGTGGGGGGGAAGACAAAAACCCAGAAAACATAAGAAAATATAGGGGAATCCTGTTATTGGTGTGTATTTATTTGTGTGTCCCAAGGTCCCTTCAACTAGGGGGGGGGGGATGTCATGCCGGGGCCATGAATATCTCCCCAGATCTCACGGCGCCCCCCTTCTTATCTCATACCGTCCCCGCCCCCCCCCCTCCTTTGGGCCGCGCACGTGCCGCCGGCCATAATTTGCAGACCCCCTCTTGGGCGCCCCCCTCCTGGCCGCCCCCGAGAGGAGTGCGGCGACGCAGGGGCGGTCGGGGGAGGCGGCCTGGCGCCCATCGCGGAGGGCCCCGAGGAGGACGAGGTCCAGGACTCGGGCGTGGCGCTCTGGGGGGGGGGGCGAGCCACGGTTGGGTCGGGCCTGTCCCTCTACAGGAGGAGGTTCCCAAGACAGTAACACAAATGGTTTGGGGACGATGTGTTTAATGTTTCTTGCATGTCTGGAATCTGTTCTGACTGTTTCTTGATCTTCGTCCACAATCCCCCTGCAGGGGGACAGGCCCGCGAGGGCTGCAGAAAAAGGAGGGGGAGGGGGTCCTCCTCCTCCTCCTCCTTCTCTTCGTCTTCGTCTTCCTCCTCCTCCTCCTCCTCCTCCTCCTCCTCCTCCTCCTCCTCCTCCTCCTCCTCCTCCTCATCCGCCTCCTCCTCCTCCTCCTCCTCCTCCTCCTCCTCCTCCTCCTCCTCCACCGGAAGAAGCCCTCTAAGGGCCCACAAGAGGGGCCTTCGGGACCCGAGGAATGCACCCCTCCCCTCCCCGACGCCCAGAGGACGCGGCGCCCGCCGGCAGCCCGGCTGGCTTCTCTCTCGCAGGGGCAGGCGAGAAGGGCAAGAAGGACAAGAAGGAAAAAAGGTCGTCGAAGAAGAGAACCTATACACGAGCACGAAAATAGATTGCGCACGGATTGCTTGGATCTGCGCCGATCCCCTGGCGGCGCCTTCGGCGCCGCCCCCTGCGCGCTCCGCGCGCCAGGGAGGGTGGCCCAGCGCCGATCCAAGACATCCGCGCGGATTGTGTTTGCGCAGTGTGTTGCATGCCCTAGGTCTGGAACCGACAGGCAAGAGGCAGAAGGAGATGGCCCAGAGAAGAAGGAGAAGAAGGAGAAGAAGGCCAAGAAGGACAAGAAGGATAAGAAGGACGAGGTTAACAATAAGGAGAAGAAAGACAAGAAGGAGAAGAAGGGCAAGAAGAAGGAGGAGGTACTCGAGGACAGAGGCGCGCAAGCTCCAGAGTTAGACCCTTGACGGCTCTGGATTTTCCACGCGGGTGCCTTCAGCTGACAGCGCGCCAAAACAAAAGAAATTCACTGGACTCAGCGGCAATCAGGGGTAACGACAGGAGGGGACTGGCTAAGGGAGGGAAGCATCGACCCCAATGGCCGATTCAACCTCGATGCTTCCCCCTTTGAGCTAGACCCCTATCATCCCCCTCATTTTCTCAACGGTAGGAGCGCCACCGGCGAGTACACTTTGATTTGGCGACTGGACTCGCAGCAACGCAGCACCCCCGTTGGTCTTCCATCCTGGGGATGTCCCCCGTTTTCGCCCTGCCCCGCACGTCACTCGCGGATGCTTCGTGCAAGAGCCAGGGCATGCGTGCCACTCGTTCGGAGCTCTATGTATTTCCTTTCTCCCGCGTTTGCACATCGTGGGTGGGACTGTTTTCGGTGTTTGTCGTGCCCCGAAAAGACGCCAGGACAACAAGTTGGGAGGGTTGGGGGTGGAAGTTTCGGACGGTCGGCGGTCGTGCCCGAGGAGACGGCCACCGTGGAAGACGGCTTGAGTCCACCAGGCAATTAGCAATCGTTATCACGATCCACCATCTTTCAATCGCGGAGCCTGATCTCTGAGCAGACTGGCAGGTTTCAACAGGGCCTGGCGCCACGAGTTACCTTGTTGCCTCTTGACGGCTCCCGCGCATCTGCATACCAAAGAGTTCGTTTTGCGTGCGTCACACTCGGAGGTGGACAGACCTACCCTGACACGTCGATTAGCGAATTGGCCGTTTTCGGTTCGCGAGAGGGCGTCGCGGCCGTCATTTCTGCGGGTCCAGGTCCGTCGGTTTCGATCCTAGGCCGTTTTCACTAAAGGGTGGTTTACCAAAGGGAGGTTTGTTCGCCGACACACAGCTCACGACTTCTTGGATGGTCTCAGGGTCCTCCTCCCATCGCCATTCTGGCTCAAGCGTCTGGGCCGAGCGGCCGCCGTGTTTCAGGCCGCTCCAGCGTAATTAGGTGGCAGTGGCGGCGGCACTGCCGCTTTCCCCAAGCGCGCCTGTGCCCGCAGCGTCGATTCTCAACCTGGAGGATGTGGGCAAGCGTGTCGCACGCAGGAGTGCTGACCACAAGGAGCACCTTCTTGGACTGCAGCTCCCCCTGGCTGGAGTCCGTGGTGTTACCTTGGCGTGCCAGCTGCGTCCCCCTGCGCCTCCACCGACGGCGCGACCAGAGCCGCGAACACGGACTCCCACCTGCTCCGCGGTCAGGAGTGCGGCGGCGGGACCTTGCGCGGAGCTGCCGTAGACCACAAGCAGGGCCTCGACGATCACGGGGTCCACAAGTCGCCCGCAAGCCAGAGGACATGGACGACCTCGGCCAGCCCCAGAGGGCGCCCCAGCTGCCCGAAGAGGGCAGCAGCCGCCAGGCGCGGCATGCCCGGCGCAGCGGCAGCCAATTACTGCAGGGCGAAGACGACGTCCGAAGAAGGCACCACGGGCGCACCTCCATGAGATTGCACCACGCCTGCGAAGGGCGGGCCAACGGCTGCATGATCGAACTGGTCTGCCAAGGCCTCCGCCGGCAGGAGGCCGACTGCTCGAGGCCATCTTGGGGCGTCTCAGAGCGCTCTTGGGTCTCCGTCGGGGCGTCCTGGAGGCCCGTTGGGCGCGCTTGGAATTCTTTTTGGCGGTCCTGGAGCTCGGGTTTCCTGGAGAACCGCCCGGGGGGACAAGATCGCACAAGGGGGGGGCGGGCCCGGGGCCCCGGGGCCGGGACACACACACACACACACACACACACACACATATATATATATATATATATATACATATATATATATACACACACAGCTTCTTTATATATATATATATATCTGTATATACAAACATATATATATATATACATACATACCTACATACATGCATACATACATACAAACATACATAGACATACACATACACATACACACATAGATTTTATATATATATATATATATATATGTGTGTGTGCGTGTGTGTGAAAACACCCGGTTCCCGCGAATGTGTCCTGTTTTTGTTTCCGCCCCGCCGCTTTGTTTAGTTTCCTGAGTGTTGTTTTAATGTTGTTTGGATTCTGGCTTTGAACAAGGCCGAACAGCAAGAAAAAACAGAAAACCCAGCAAAAGCACAAACAAAAAAATGCGGGAACCTGGTGTTTTCACAGGGACCATCTATTTGGGATGATGCAAATAACATGTTGACGATGCAAAAACTTAGTTTCCTTTGATTCCCATGTGTTGTTCCAAGAAAAACAACAACGCCTATGCGTGATCTCTGCGCAGGCACAGGGACAACATGTCCCTGCTACATTTTTTTTGCGAGAAACCAATAAAAATAAAAGTAAAAATTGTGTTTGTACAGGCAAACCTTTGATTTTCCTTTTTCCGAAAAAGGTGATCCCTGTGAAAACAAATGGTTTCCGCACATGTTTGCGCGTGGTTCCGCTTCTTTTGGTTTTTCTGCGTTTTGGGTGTGGGTATGTTTTTTTTTCTGCCGTTTCTGCCTTGTTGTGGTCTTGGTTTTCTAACATGGCCGAAACAAAACCAGAAAAAGCGGGGGGGGATGCGGGAACGTTTTGATTGTTTCGTCAGGGACCATTTGATTGGGAGGATGAAACATCCCACGTTTGTTTGTGAAACACATGGTTTTCTTTGGTTGTCATTGTTTGTTCTATATGTTTTACATCCAAAAAACATAACGGCTGAATGTGATCCTGGTGCAGGCACAGGGACCACCTGTCCCCACTTACCGGTTTTTCTTTGAAACAATTACAACTGTCGATGGAAAAAACCATGTGTTCACCAGCAAACCTTTGATTTCCCTTTTCCGAAACAGGTGATCCTTGTGAAAACATAGGGTTCCCGCATATTGGTTTTTGGCTATTCAACTTTGTCTGGTGTCCCCCAAGAACGAGGTCTCTGGAGTTCCAGCCCATTGCCCGAAGGCGCGAGTCTGGAATTTCAAAGACCACCTTCGGGGGTGTATTTTTTGGTTCTCCCGATTTTCTGAAGACGAGCAAAAAGGGCAAGAAATCACGAAAACAATTTCTCTTTGAAGCTGCTGATCTACTCCGCCCCGCTGGTAGTGGCACTTACCAGAGACTTGGCATCGATTTGAAGAAATTCGACGAGCTCATAGTTACTTACGGAGCTCAAAATTTCGGCCCCTGGGAAGAACGGGGTTCTCCGTGGGCCAGCGGCGAAGTCACGCCCGACAACTATGCAGAACCTGTGGGAGAGGATTGCGAAGACATGCGGCATGAACCATGGGACGATGACGCCCTCGCGCGCACTTTGACTGGCCACGTTGACCCTCCGCGCTTCGCGCCCGCGATCAAGGAGGCGCCGACCGCAGGCCTGATATGTTGCGCATATGAACCACTCACCGTGAACCTGAAGGCGCCATCATCGGCAGTTACGCGGATGCACGAGTGGCCCATCATCGCGAGCGCGGGCTGCCCGGGAGGATGCGCGCGCGAGGCCCAGCGCTGCAGTGGTTGACCAAGGAGTCGCGCGCGGCTGCTGCGGCGGGCAGAGCTGCAGCATCGACGCCCAGAAGCGGCCCCCTACGTTTCTGCTTCACGAGGTCCGGAGCTACAATCGAAGGACGGCGCGCCGTTGCGATCTTCGGAGCTTCTTGTCAGACACCGCGCCATTTGGAGAGTTTGTCACGGGGCACTTGCAGGCTGACCATTCCGAGGCCAAGATGGCGATCTCGAAGACCGTCAGTCTCGGCAAACCAGGCGTCAATTTGCCGCTCGCGCCGTCGCTCGCCGTGGATGCGGCGCAGTCAAAGGATGGACAATTGAAGTCGGCTCGTTTTCAACATCTGCGCTTGCAGTTTCGGGCGCGCCCGCGGCCTGCCGCGACGCGGCTCGCGCCCGCTCAGAGAGCAAAGACGACGGGCTGCAGCGGATGCGCAAGTTCTGCGACACCGACAAATTGGAAGTGCACTGCTGCATCCTCGACGAGCTCATCATGCCACCCCCTGATTAGCTGTTCATTATGAGCGACGCATTCGATGAGCTACACGAGCACTCTCGCGTCAAACACAGAGTGAGCTGCGCCTCGGCAGCCGAGCCTTTGCTCAGCGAATTGCCGCTCGCGCCTGGTCGCGCCGCCCTTTCGCGAGGAGCTCCCGCCCCGATTCGCGCCCGACGCCACTCGCGCCCGCCCTGCGCAGCGCAGCCCGGCGCCTGGAAGCGGCCCCCGCACAGGCGCGGCCGCCGCGCGACGGCCCCCACAGCGCGCGCAGTTTCAATGACCAGTGGAGGCACGATTATCAGAGGGTGCCGTCAGTTTCACGGCTCCAGGGCTGCGGCGCGGCACTCACTGGCGCCATTCGCACTCTCGCCGAAGTCTCGCGTCGGCGACCACGCGCAGAAGGGCGCGGACATTTCATGTCATTGAAGGTGCGAGGAGGGGGTGGGGCTTCGTTGACGTCTGCGATTCCGCCATTAGATCGGTTGCGCGGGCGCCCATTCATCATTTCGCGTCGGCCGCGTCGAGATTGGGGGGGGCTATACTTCTATTGCGCCAAATGGCGCGACGTCTCTGACCCCCCAGCCACGGAGGGCGCACCCTACGACGTCGAAGGGTCAGGTCGCGGACGCCCGAAGCCCCGCGCGGAAAGGCGGCGAAGGCCCACGCGACGAAGACCATCACCCAGCGGCCCGCGCCATGTTCCCCCGCGCCCAAGCGAGGGAAACGGCGCACGCACGCGAGGCCAGAAAGATCTGACAAACGAAAGTTTTCGGCGACGCGGAAGAGCACGCCGCGCGCCAGACGCGGTGAAAAGCAGCACGCCAGGCGCCCAGCCCAAACACGAGCCATGAGCATAAAGGAGATTGATCGCTTTACCGAGCACCAACTGGTCAAGGAACTGGCAAATGCTGGCTTCTTGGATTGAAGAACTGGGCTGGCCATTTATGTCCATCCTGCAGGGCGCACAGCGTTGGGGGAAGTTGCGGCGGCGCGTGGACAGCGGTTCT